ACGGGACTCCATTTTCAAAAAGGGTATAAGAGAAAAAAATGCTCACGACATGAAATCTCGTGAAAAGGCGTCAGCTGACATGGGAGCTCGACATCTCAGGATCCAGAATAGAATTCTGGTGATGTTTAGTAGCCAATCAATCGGGAGCAGTATAGGCCGGGTACGTCCATATAACTTCCATCGTTCGAGTAACTGGTGGTTTATGGAGACGTCGTGGTTCCTGAAGGACACTAGGTAGCGAAAAATCGTTTCAATAGGATTTCCTAAATTCCCGATGGTTCTTTCTCGGAGTCATGGAGAAAGCTGCTTGCAAGAGATGAAAAGATTTGAAGGTTAATAGAATCAGTGTTAAGATAGATGTGCAGTCTTTGCTTGAAAGCAGATTGACTGTGTAACGACATAATTTCAGTTGGAATGTTATTCCAAAGAAAGATATACCTGAAAGCAAAGATTAGAGAGCGTTGAGATGTAGAGGATGCAGGAGGAGGTATAATCATTGCGGAATTTCTTAGGTTGTAAGGACAACTAACGGAGATAATGACAAATATATTGGGGAGATCATCTATTAAGACTTCGCATTCAGCGGGCAAGGCTCAATATCCGCAAGTAGTAAATACATGAAATATTCTATACGCAGAGGCTGTGGTGTCACAATCACTGGAAAGCTTTGAAAGGAACCTTGGCATGTTTGCTTTCCAAAATGAGCCGGAGCCATGACGGACTTAGACCCTCGCTCCAGTTGTCATATTTTAAATTCCCCTCTGAACGATTGCAACCCACATGGTTTCTCTGTACATCGCGCTCAATTTAACGTTGAAATAGAGCAATTAAAGGCTCATTCATAGTTCCCTCAATAAAATAAACTACTAGTAAATCTGTTCGTGCTATGGACTAGGCTAAAGGATGCCTTGTTGCAGGCTGAGAAGTCATTAATCTTGCAAGTTTGACTCAACCGGCTTATCATCCTGCGAGATTTGTGCAGTAAGATTATGCAAGTACGCTCAACGCATAGCTCAAGCCAACTTGACATGCGATTTAGCGAAAGAGTTAGCATGAGTATGATTCCTGTGTAGGTCACACAGTTTAAAAAACCATAAAAATAAATTATACTCACTATTTGTTTTCAAGAAAAGGTATGACAAATAGCACTAGTTGAA